ATAATGTATATAGAGAGATATAGAGAGAGAAAGATAAGAGTTAGAGAGAGAAAGGGTTGACCAAAAATGGGAAGAGGAGGAGGGGTGTTGGTCAACTTCAATTTGGTTCTATGGTCCCAAGGATGCCATGTGTCACATTTTTGTGAATTACTGACTTTATGCTAAGTAACCCATTTTCCCATGCCCTTCTATTGCAACACCAAGCTTGTTCCCAAAATATCTACCTCAATGTATAGATATAGATGTATGTATATATGTGTGAAAATACCACAATGCCCCTCAATGAAAATGACAAAACTATGAGAAGTTCCTGAGCCCGAAAATCGTCCCGACTTCCGAAAAATTCTAAAATTAATCCTGTCACTTCTAATTGACTAAAAATAAATAAAAATGCATTCCTAAAACTCTCGGATCGAGAAATGACCTAAACGTCCATCGAGGTCCGCTTGGTATGCAAAACGAGGCACGAAAAATAATTAATACAAAATTTTAAAAAAATCCGAAAACATCCGGGACATTACACGTGTATTCTCAATGACACCCCTTGTCGTTAATAAAAATTCATAAAATAGCCAAATTGCCCTTACATTGTGTTAAAAGACCTCAATAACCATATATTTTGACATAAAATGACAAAAATACCATGAAATGCCATTGAAATGCAAAGTATCATTTTTCATACTAATTTCATATTATAAAATTTTACAAAAACAAATATATATATATATATATATATATATATATATATATATATATATATATATTTGTTAATAACATTTTATTAGATTTCTTTTTAAGATTTGATTTGGTTTCTTCTTTTAAAAAAAAGTTCAGGTTATATAGTGTTTACAAGGAAGGAAAAAAGGGTAATAGAGTCTTTTTGTTTGATAGATTTTTTTTATTAAATTATATAAGGGTATGAAAGATGATAAACCAAGAGGGGGAAGGGATGAATTGGTTCTTCCACTTTTTAACACTTAAACACTTTTCTTAAGTAAGTATAGCACCACAGCTTGATTAAATCATTTACATATTCCACTATGTTGATGAAACCCTAATCTATCACAAGGGTTTGATATAATTTCATAGCCAAAAGGGCACCAATTTTTTATAAGGAAAATCCCCCTCAATAGGGATAAAAAAAACATTGGTTCTTGGGTACTCACCCAATGTAAATATACTAGTTGTGTTGCAAGTTGATACACACTTAGTTGTCTCACACTCTGCACACACACATTAGCTCACCATAATATGCACTCAGCACTCCCCATATCCTAAACACCCCTTCTTGGACCAATACAGCTCTCATAGCTCTTCAAATACATGGTAAAAGATGAATATACATCATTCAATGGTTGTTACACAAGATAAGAATCAAAATACAGCTCAAAGATGAAAACAGTACAAAAGCACTTAAGAAATTCAACAGAATCTATGGTCTGTGAACTGAAATGCAGCTTCAATACTTACCCAAACTTGATTCTCACAACCTTATATCAATAATATACACTTGATCATATGATAAACATGATGAGTATAGTAAGGTATAACAATTTCAGTACACAAACAGAACTGGTTTCTACAGAAGTATGAAAGGCCAAATCCATAAATGACCATTTCTCTATTGAAAACTCAACTTGCACAGCCTCAAATCAACAATATGAACTTGCTCAGATAGTAGTCATGATGTTCACAGCAAGATATCAACATATAATACTCACAACCAGAAGTTATGCACCAGAAAAAATACAAAAATTAAGGTCTGAGATATCAAAATATATTGTAGTTAATATATGAACATAAACATGATTTCTAGAGATGTATAATGTCAAACCAAACTTGTCTCAACCTTCTGGTGCCCTGTGGATGCCTCAAACCAAAAATGAACCTCTGAGACCATCTTGCACCAGAAAACCAGCTTCAAGGAGCCTCATTCATCATCTTCACTTGTATACACTCAAAATATATATCTCTGAGGTGAATTTCAGCTCACTCAATAGATCAAACACTCAGAAATATTCATGTTCATTTGAGTCTCAAGTCTCTCACACAATCCAGCTCACAAGAAGGCTCTCACATCTCATAAAAGAGGCACATTACACCAACTGCTATAACATCATACATATAGTAGTACAAAGTGTGTTGATGTAGTCCTTAAAGAGGATAAAAGTGTCCCACAATCCACCAATCATTGGTGAGGAGAATATTCTGACATTCTCTGCGTGAAAGGACCACATTACCCCTACCAACTCACATCTTTTGTCCTGTAGTGCAGTGTAAAAACCAAAATCATATATGTACAGGTCTATGATATGTAATGAGACTTATTGCCAAAGAATTGTACAAATGTCATGAAATTTTCTTACTAGGACCACTTCACACGTGTCAAGCATGTGCACTACTCACACACAAAAAGGCATTAATACCCCTGGAATTGACATGTGTCATTATAATCCAGAAATGTGACGGGTTTAACCTATAACAAGGGTTTGTGATACAATGTACCATCTTCATAATATTTAAAATGAACTCACACACAATGAAAATGACTATACTGCCCCTGAATATACCAGAATTAACCTCAACACACCAGAATTTGTAACATATCTCAGGAATGGACCTATGAGCTAACTTTTGACATTAAAAGTTCAAACCATGAATAAAAGGCTGGGACCAACAAAAGACATTTCTCACTTTTAAGGAGGTCAATGTAAATAAAGATCAAACGCAATATCTATGTGTAATTTGCCCAAACCTCAAAAAAAAAAAAAGCTAGTGTAATTAAATTACCCTTATATATATTCATGTCTATACGTATCTATCATATATTTAAGTGCTAAGGAGAATTTAACTAGAAGTTACTCTGGAATACCATTTTCAGTTGGCGACTAACACATATATACACATACACATTTGACAGCTGTATTTTTTTATTTTTTTATTTGTTTCTTTTCTTTTTGCACTCATTATATTAATCAAATTTCAAAATTCTAGTTACATCCATTTATCCATAAATGATAAAAACACCCACTTAATCATAACTAAAGCGGAATTATATGCCCCTCCACAAATGATAAAAACATCCAATTAAAATAAGATAGTCTTTAAAAATAATAAAAACAATCCATTGATTTAGATTAAAAGCCTAAATCAAAATCTGAGGTATCACAAAAGGGAAGGAAATTAAACATGAAAAATGAATCAATCAAAACTTAACCATGAGATTGATATACATATATGATCCCTTGTTCACCGGTGAGCAAGAAATTTATCCACGCCAAATTTAATGATCCTTAAATATGATTGTTATGTTTTGTTTTTTAAATACCTTTTTATACTTAAATCATATTTAACGGTAACCATGTTTGGTGTGATGGGTGAATAAGAAATCATTATACATATGTATGTTCATTTTCATTTGATTGGTTGATGGCATTTGACACTGTTGACCTGCAGCACAATATTATGTATTATTACTTTTTCTGACCCTAACTTTTCTTGCATTAGGTATAAATCTTTCTCTAACCTTAGCCTTTCTTCCCCAACATTAAATTGTGCATATCTCTTTTTCTTACCCTAACCCTAAAACATATAATAATAATAAATAAATAGAGTTCTATTGCCACATTGCACAATTGTTATGTTACCAATAAATTTTGGAAACTAGATTGCACTCTCAAGTTTGTAATAGAAGAAAATTTCATCTAGGCTAAAAGTATCATTGGAGTTTAGGACACAAAAATATCATGGGAGTTTATAGGACACAAAAATATCATGGGAGTACTCCTAACCATCCTTCTTAGTAACAAATTTCTGATGTATTAGGCCTGCAAAGTCTGGCATCCACTCTGTTTGATAAAATTGGAGGATATAAAACAGGCTCATTTCCTACACTTCTAACCTCTTTTGGACATAACTAATTGGTCAGCCTATTTTATGAGAAATTATTATATGATTCAAGACTATATGGTTCCGGACAATCACAAGCTATCACACAAGTAAGAAAATTAAAAAAAAAAAAAAAATTGACACATTTACTTGTGTGGTAACTCATGATGGTTGGGACCATATAATAATTTATCTGTTAATGGTTTAAGAAGACATGGTTCCGGACAATCACAAGCTGCCACAAATAAAAAATAAATAAAGTTAGATACATTTACTTATATAATAGTTTGTAATTGGCGTGGACCATGTAATAATAATTTCTCCTTTTTGATCACTATGGACGGACAACTTTGGTCCAAATTATCATGAATTGAAATTTTGGACTTGGCAGCTGGTACATGGAGAGAGTGTTTTCTAACCAAACCTGAATTGGGTCCATACGCTGAGCCAACCAACTGTGTAGGAGGTGTAATCAAAGCCTAAAACTTCTTTGGTAAAAGGGGTGCGCTTAGAATTTTAAAAGTTTTATTAAAACACCCTTTTTACTTCCCGTATTTTCTAAAAAGATCGTTTTGGAAAAATTGGTATAGAAACCAAATCAGCTTCCAAGCCCACAAAAGAATAAAGAAGACTTTGAAAAGTCAATCAAAACTGAGGCCCTTTTGAAATATAATCCCTCATCTGAATATTGTTTTGGGCAGGCTGAAAAAGAGTAATGGGACATTTCATACGTTTTGGGCCGGCTGAAAAAGGGAAAATAACACTGGGAACTTAACCGAACGATCAAACTGCAAAATTTAAGTCATTAGGTAATCCTAACATCCAGACTATTATACTCACTTCATTTTTAATTTGGATACCGACACAAAGCCTCTCAACGCTACATAAACCCATCATAGGATAATCTAAACATTCACCTTCTTGAATGTTTATTATTATCCTATACAATACCTAATCCTCTAATACGTATAAAATTAATATCTATACCAAATTGGAATTGTTCCTTTTTCAAGCCAATGGCAAAGGCTGAGCCCCCAAGCACAAACACATAATAAAGCAGTAACACATGAAAGACACAACCAATATCCAATGAATCAAATCAAGCCAGAATATGAATTTCGAGAAAGGAAAAAGGAAAATAAGTAAATTCAATATGCAAAAGGTCTAACATCTGAAACCAACTTTAACAACTAAATAGTGTCCATTTTCTACTAATAATTCAAATTCTATCCCCATTTGCTTTTCCTGCTACGAATAAAAATTGCGTCCATCACAAACACACTAAGCTTCCCATACTAACATACTACCTCTCATTTCATCTTGGTATATAACATACTAAAACCCCCATCCACCAAACTAAAATACTACATAAAAAAAAGCATTTAACTAGGAATTTTGCGCACTCCCTCCTAATATTCAATCAAACAAGTAGTCACTCATCGGAACAAATTCAGGCGGTGGCGACATTGCAGAGTCTGTCTCAGCCATTGTTGTCTCCTGGTGGCTAGTCACATACTTTCTCATCTCTATAACCTTCCTGTGGGAGTTCGAGTGCAGTGAATGATCAAATGTAGGACTTGACGCCGGACGATACTCCGGGAAGAGACGGCCAGACTTGTATCGCACCCCACATGCATTGCAAAGAGTCCTTGGTCCCATTGGTCCCCACCTCCATTGCGGGGTCTTTGTTACCTCACAATGTGTGCATGAATTTTTCTTCATTCGTGGGGCACCAAATAGCTGTGACAGTCTCTTTTTCTTCTTCGCTTTTCCTTTGACAAAATTTGACATCTGCTAAGGGAGATGGGATTCAGAAATGGTTCAGAGGCAACTAAACAATAAGATATTATAAAAGCAAAAGAAATGGGAGGCACCTCAGGCTGAATTTTGAAGGAAAAAGCTCGCGAACGCTTGCTGCGACGCACTGGGATGGAAGCTTCTGAGCCATCAGGTTTGCTCTTTTCAACAGAGCAAGAGCCGCTGTTTTCCAGGACAGAAACTGGGCTAGGTGTTTGGAACATTCCTGAATCTAAGCCATCAGAAGAATCGTTAAGAAGTGTAATGCTTGCTCCGGAGGTTTCTTCAACAAACCTTGGCAGTTGTTTGGGCTTAGAAGTTTCATCACTCTGAAACAATGACTAAATGAGGAATGTCACAAAAAACATCAGAAGAAAGTGGCAGAGAAAAATATTGCATTTACCTATGAAATCTCTAGCTAAAGACTCATAATTCTCTGTTTTTCTACCATTGGATGCACATTAAACTTAATTCAAAGAAAACGAAGTCATATTTGGAACATGATATCAACCTTAAACCATACGTAGCTCATTATCATTACCATAATAATCATCTTGACATCAGAAGGCAGGCAACGGAAATGTTGGAGAATACTATTATAGGAACCTTAAATTACTCCACATAATATTGCTCTGAGAATATTGTGGGAGTTGTGATTTTAGTCTATGATAAAATATGATTGGAATGATTTATGGGATTGATTTTATGAATCCTCCATTAATGTATTTTCCATATTTATCGCTTTGTTCTTTCACCTACAAATAGAGGTGCTCATCTTAAACAATCTTAAAAGAGAATATAATAAAGATGATGTAGCCCTTTGGGCTTTGTGCGTGTATCCTTGTGTGCTTCATTTTCTATTTCTCTCTTCAATTTTGACATGTTATCAAAGCAAGTTTATCATACCATACTCTATACTCGTCTCGGATCTACGGATCAACTCGTCTCAGATCTACGGATCAACTCATCTCGGATTTTCAGATCACTCGTCTCGAATCTTCGGATCAACTCGTCTCGGACTCTCAACAACTTGGCACTTAGTTTCAAGTTGGACACTTGAATTAATATCTCCGTGTACCAACTTGAGGTAGGGTGTTCGAGAATATTATTACAGGAACCTTAAATTACTCCACAGAATATTGCTCTGAGAATATTGTGGGAGTGATTTTAGTCTATGATAAAATATGATTGGAATGATTTATGGGTTTGATTTTATGAGTCCTCCATTAATGTATTTTCCATATTTATCGCTTTGTTCTTTCACCTATAAATAGAGGTGCTCATCTTAAACAATCTTTAAGAGAAAATATAATAAAGATGGTGTAGCGCTTTGGGCTTTGTGCGTGTATCCTTGTGTGCTTCATTTTCTATTTCTCTCTTCAATTTTGATAGGAAAGAATATACACAAACAGTGAACCATCTTCAAAGAGAATAAAGACCAAAAACTGAACACTGAAATACTAAATTTGGTAAGGTTCAAACAAGTTTTAGGCATCAGTCAGTCTTTTAAAACTCAGATTGTACTCATGTGCGAAAGAATAAAGTAATTTGATTCCTTACATATAGAATCCAACAGAACCTACAGTTGTAGTTTGATGAATGCAAACAAAAATGAATGGAGTTGCACAATAAAGGACTGATCAACTAGGCATGCATAAGAATCAGCTTAATCAAAAACTAAAAAGCCTAAACATTGATCTAGCAAGTGCAACCAACAGAACCTCATTTGATTTTATAGCTCAATATAAATTTTAAATATTCTCTCATGACTATCAACTCTTTGAGAAAAATGATAGGCTACTGTATGTCTTTTGAATAAAGAGAGAGGATATCACCAATGTGATCCCCATTAATTAAGAGTGCTAGAATGGTTAGACTAGATACAAACTGAACTTGGCTTTAATTGCACGTAGTGGCACCTTGAACCTGGTTCTCAGGTTTGACAGCCCAAGCTTTTACCACTATACCAAACAATGACACCTATTCCCTTTTAGTAAAAAAAAATGATATGAACGAAAAGGAACCCACCAGCAATGTTCTGTTATAAGATTAGTGAAGCCACAACCAATATATAGAAACATAATCAGCAAAACTATCGATCATAACAGCGAGCATAAATCTTCAACATTCTCAACTTCAATCTTAGGGGCCAAAGGTACAAGATTGACCTCTTTTCTGTTGAAAATATGAGCTTGTGTCCATGCATTCTCTAATAGATTTCCAATTTTGTGCAGAACATGATATTGATGCATCTCTATCAACTTTCATGAATACACCTTCACCCCCTTTCTCTCACAAGAACAATTATATATTTGGATGCAAAATTGGTTTTCATTCATACTTTCACCTTTCGAAAACTAAGTAGAACAATATACACAATACATGTTCTGTTTTTCAAAATTTCTTATTTAGAATAAGTTAATTTGATAATGTAAATTCATTAAACCTGCTTTCTTTTATAAGTTAATAAGAAATAACTTGTCAATTAACTTGAAAATTTTGTTCCCCCTTTTTCAAAATTTCAAAACAGTAGTTCTGCGGACATTGTAAATTCAACGTGTTCCCTCTCTTAGTACTCTACATAAAAAGAACTACATGACATAAAACTTTATTAAAAGTACTTTTGCTCAAATAGTCAAACCTCACAACAATAAAACCAACTAAACTAGAATTAAGCACTAACCGATTTCTTGACACCAACAAAAGAAGAACTACATGATATAGAAGTGGTCCACTCCGGAGTGTCACATTATTTTCTCCATTATTGTACACAAGTTAACATGCCGATTCTTCTTTTTGATATTTCATAAGTCATAGTAACAGTAAAAATAACACTCAATTGAGGTTGCGAGAAGGGGTAGACTAGATAAAAACTGAACTTTGGAATTAAATGCACAAAATGACTGCTTGAACCTGGTTCTCATTCTTGAAATTTTAAAAAGGTTCTAGTGTTCTACAACTAAGAAGACCGCTAACTAAAAATGACCCTTTGAGCAAGGAAGGATCTCTGACAAACTAAGCATGTGTTCCAACTCGGCGAAAAAATTGATATGAATGAAAAGGAACCCACCAAAAATTTTGTTCCCCCTTTTTCAAAATTTCAAAAAAGTAGTTCTGGTGACACTGTAAATTCAATGTGTTCCCTCTCTTACTACTCTACATAAAAGAACTACATGACATAAAACTTTGTTAAAAGTACTTTTGCTCAAATAGTCAAACCTCACAACAATAAAACCAACTACACTAGAATTAAGCATTATCCAATTTCTTGACACCAACAAAAGAAGAACTACATGATATAGAAGTGGTCCACTCCGGAGTGTCACACTATTTTCTCCATTATTGTACACAAGTTAACATGCCATTCTTCTTTTAGTAACAGTAAATATAACACACTCCATTGAGGTTGCGAGAAGGGGTAGACTAGATAAAAACAGAACTTTGGCATTAATTGCACAAAATGACTGCTTGAACCTGGTTCTCATTCTTGAAATTTTAAGAAGGTTCTAGTGTTCTACAACTAAGAAGACCGCTAACTAAAAATGACCCTTTAAGCAAGGAAGGATCTCTGACAAACTAAGCATGTGTTCTAACAAACTAAGCATGTGTTCTAACTCAGCAAAAAAATTGATATGAATGAAAAGGAACCCACCAACAATGTTCTGTTATAAGATTACCAAAGCCACAACCACTACATACAAACATAATCGGCAAAACTATTGACCTTAGCAGCGAGATAAACCTTTAACATCACGAACTTCAATCTTAGTGACCAAAGGTACAACCTTGACTTCTTTCTGTTTAGAATATGAGCTTATGCTCATGTATTCTATCATAGATTTCCAAATTTATGCAGAACACGATATTGATGCATAGCTATTAACTATCATGAATACAAACACCTCCACCCTTTTTTCACGATAACCATTATATTTCTCAATGCAAAATTGGTTTTCATTCATTCTTTCACCTTTTGCAAACTAATTATAATAATAGTCTCAATACGTGTACTTGCTTTCTTTTATAAGTTAATAATAAGAAATCAGTTATCAAGTAACTTAAATTTTTCGTCCCCCTTTCAAAAATTCAAGATCGGAGTTCCAGTGACATTATATTTTCAACATGTGTTCCCTATCTTGTTTCTCTACATAAAAGAACAATATGACATAAGACTATTAACAAATATACTTTTGCTCAACCTCACACCAATAAAACCAACTAAACAAAAATTAAAAGATTTTCCAAAACCAACAAAAGAAGAAATTCATGGAAAATACATAGGAGTGGTTCACTCCACCACAATCTCACAATTAGACAAGTTAACATGCCCCATTGTTCTATATGATGTTGTATAACATATACTAATAGTGAAAAATAAAACACTTAAAAGTATATATCCACATACAAAACAGGATTTCATACTAGTCAGTCAAAAAAGTAGTCCAATTTATACGGATGGATTGAAATAGTTTGTAACTTACATTGGGCAGAAAATCCAAAGTGCCATTGCCAATGTCTAAGCTGCCCTCGGCACCACCGGGAACGAAGAGCAAACCCTTCTGCATTGCATCAGAATGAATGGACCCTTCTTCTTGGTATGGATGTTGGTGTTGGGACATAGCATCATCCAAATCCCCTCCATTGATATCAAAATTTTCCAAGGGAAAATCGATACAACTCAAAATTTTCCCAAAACTCTCATAATTTGAAACGTCAATTTCACAGTTGTCAATTCCACCGAACAAATCCGAACCAACCATACTGCTTAAATCCGAACCAACCATATTTTTCTGAATAAACCAACCAAACCAACAGTTTGTTAGAATGCAATGCAACCATATATATATATATATATATATATATATATATATTGATTGATAATCATCTATACCGTATTGGTTAAAAGTAACTTACAAATATAAAATTGGAAATTACCAAAGAGGTGGGAAAGAGAATTTTATCTAATATAGATTTGGGTTATTATGTGTGAAACATTATCCGAATCTTATTTTATTTTTATTCATTGTTTTATATATAGAAATAAGATTCTAATAAGTATGGTCCAGAAAAATAAATACATAAATACATGGTTGATTTGACGGAGAAAAAATCTGTAGTTCCTTATTGCTTATTAAGACGTGGATTGCAATAAAATCTTTGGTGAAAAATAGCTATTCCTATTAATTTTGAACATTAATACTTTCTAGAGTTTTAATTTACCAAAGATAAGGTAAAGGGCCATGTTTGGTTCCCAAACAATAGAAAAAAAAATTAAAAAATGATAAAGGAGAAAAAAATATATAGCATACGCATTAGACATTTTCCTTCATTTTCTCAGGAATCAAACAGAGGAAACAGAGACAGAGAAAAATTAAAGTTGGGATTTGAAGGGAAAGTAAACCTGGGATAATCCAAACTCACATTGGAAGACTTGTGCATGAACAGCCACAAAAAAACCCTAACTTCTCTTCTTGTGTTTGCAGTTTGTACTTTGTTTGGATAATAGAGTAGTAGAAGAGGAAAGCTGAAGAAAAGTGCAAAAAAAGAAAGAAAAGAGTGAAAGCATTGAGAGAGAGAGAGAGAGAGAGAGAGAGTGGGTGGTTTTCGTTCTTCGGATCTTTCTTCGGTTGCTATGGATGAATGGGGAACTTCTAGGTCAGAAACTGATTATTTGTTAGAAAAAAAAATAAATAAATAAAAACCGGCATTCCCCACATATACATATCGGTAAAAAAAAAAAATACCACCCCACACACACATATACATATCGGTAAAAAAAAAAAAAAAAAAAAAAACCCACCCCACAAAAACACACACACACACAGGAAAAAAAAAAAAAAAACCAAGAAGAAGAAGAAAGTAGGGTAAATTACAGCAATACCTTATTCTATTTTTTGGACAATGACACCCTGACACCCCTTGAGACGAGACCTAACAATTATGAATTGACTTTATTACCCTTTGGTATAAAATTGACATTTTAATTAACTTAAATATTCTTGAATCAAACCTAACCCAAACCCGAACAAGTCTTTCGCACTTTCTCTTTGTATGTATGTATGTATATATATGTCTGTACACACTAGAGATACCGCCGCCGCCACACCTCAGCATCCGCTGCCGCCGCATCATCATCACACCTCAATTGCCGCAACCGCCGCCGTATCATCATCATCATCAATATCCTTATATGTGCACATCACCACCCCCAGTTCTCTGCCTAATTCACACCGACAACCTCTCAACATCATCGTCACACCTCTATCATCGTCGGCCAAGCAAGCAAAGTTTGAGAGACACAAATAGATGTAAGTTTGACAATGTGTATATATATATATATAGAAAGCTGAAAAGAATAATTTGGTCATTTAATTATTTTGACAATTTATAATTAAAATTAATAAAATAGTGAAGGGTAAAGTGGACTTTTCACATGTGTTTAAGGCTATGTTGGAATTGTAAATTTTGTAAGTGGGTATCATTGTCCAAAAATAGGGTAACTTGTATTTTTGTCAAACCCCAGGAGTGTTGTTGTACTTTACCCAAAAAAGTATATGCATACCAATCAGGTAAAGTACAATTACACCCCTGAAATTTGTCATAATATACTCATATACAAATTGACCTATTTTTGGACAATAACACCACAGAATTTGATAAAGTTAACAAAAACATCATGTTGAATTGACTTTATTACTCTTTTAACACATCAAATTATCAATTTAAGCATACAACAAATTTTGATTGACTTAAATACTCTTGGATCAAATATGTTTAAATTGGTTGTCGCAACCCATCTAAAAAATCCAATTTTTCTCTCTTCTCACTCTCTTCTTCTATTTCCCCTCTCAAACCCTAACCCAAACAAGTCACCATTACTCTACTATTGACATGGTATAACTAAACAAGTCACCATTACTCTACTATTGACATGGTATAAGAGTGAAATCAAACAAAGCCACCACTGCTCTCCACCCCTAATGTAACGGGTGGGCGCTTGCCCATTTACCTAAAAGCTCGAACTGTTAGGTAAGGCTGCATACCCACCCATTTATACCCATGTCACTTCCTATCCGGATCCGATGTGGGACAAGTTTCCCCTTGTAACATTCTCCCCCACCCGAACTCGCAATGCCCTCGTTGCGGTTGGGCCACCCTGCCTACCCGGGTGGACTCACCCGGACGCCTTACGGGCCGGGCGCTTGGCGTGGCACCGGATCAAGGACTGGGTTTGGCTCTGATACCAATTGTCACAGGGCTAAATTACACCACGAATTTTTGCCTCTGTAATGGCACTTGGGGCCACCAAGTCTCAGCCAACACAACAACACAATACACACAGTATAGAAAATGTAAAGAAGGCACACACAGTTACAGGGACAAGCCCCAACCTTTGCTCATATTAAACATATTACAAAGGAACATGAGTTCGTACAAGGAACAACCAAGGCTCACACCCTCTTCTCTGTTCCCTCTACAAAGCCCACCTTAGCATTATATAGGCCACTCTCAAAACCGCCCATAACTGCCCACTAAGATGATGGATGACACCCACATCCACCTAGGGTCGTGCTGGCACCCTCTAAATGAGCCAGCACTATAATGTAGTTGACAAGCCCAACTGCTAGACTTGTTGGCATGTTCTGCTCATGCCACATAACCACAAGAAGTTAGATTCTGCATAGTGGAGGAAACCACCCTTAACCGCCTGTGTGTTGGTCCTTTCAGAATTGTGCCACATGTTTGGGAGGTTACTCAGCACTCCCCCACTTCCCATGATGAGTGGGAAGTACTAGTAACTTCCCCCAACTAACCGAGCCCACTAAGCCACCACCTCTTGTAACCGCAAGCCATGACTTTGTGTTATCCATGCTCTAGCCACATCTGAGTCAACCTTGTGAACCTAGCCCAAGTCCACCAATCTGCACCCACATACATATGTCTCTGAGTGCACGGCGTGCCAAGCCATGCACGCCCGTGCGCACGCTCGGATGCACACCAAAGTGCACGCCGGTGCACACACTAGTGCCCTTCTTCGCGCGCCATGTTTGAACCCTCATGCGCCCGTGGCTATACGCCCACCTGGACGCCCATGTGCACGCCGAGCTAGACGCTCGCACACACTAGGTTGGACGCCTACCCGCGCGCCCACCTGCACGCCCGCACGTGCGCCGCTGCACCCCAGCGCGCGTGTCGGTGCACACTTGTTTGCCCTTCAATATCTTGGATGCTCCCCACTTGTGCAACCATCTTGGAGTGGTGCAACACGTGCCCATGCACGTTGGCTAAGCCCTCTAAGCAAGCCATGCCATAGCCCAACCGATGCGCTCAACAGACCCCCCCTAATATAGTCTTAAGGAAATCCAGCACTCTGACAGGAGTAAACATCACCCATGCTTAAGGAGTCATAATGGCCTTTCAGACCTTTCCCGACATCCAAATTGAGTGCCGTCTGCGCCAACCAGCTTCTATGGACTCAAGGTATCTCCCATAAAGATCCCGAGTCAAAACTCCAAGTTTCACTTTTCGCCATATTTACGAAAGTGCCACTGGGCACCCCCAGTGCACGCCGAGCATCCTTTTAAGCATCTTGTGTGCACGCTGAGCATCTTATGCACACTGACAACCCACTGAGCATTCTCATGGCTGTCTAACCAAAGCCAAAGTATTCCCAAGACATGGCATGGCCTTGAAATGCCCATGTCTTCCCTTGGACAACCGTCAAGGGGCTAACAAACTTGTCCCACGTCGGATCCGGATGGGAAGTGATATGGGTATAAATGGGTGGGTATGCAGCCTTACCTAACAGTTCGAGCTTTTGGGTAAATGGGCAAGCGCCCACCCGTTACAGTTGGTATCAGAGCCCCGTTGTACGATGGCTGGAGGTAATACTCGTGAAAGAGTTTCCCATTTGGAAGAGTTCGTGGGTTTTCCTACAGAAACAGAGGTACAAGATGGTGCAGAGAGCCTTGTTGTTCGAATTGAAAACTTGGCTTCTGAAGTGGAGATCTTGAAGACTGATCCTGATGGGTTTGGTGACTTCATGCAGGCCACCAAAGAGCAATTGACCCGTATCTCTGAAGATGTTGAGTCATTGACTGACGTCTTTAAGAAGAACCTGAAAGACCTTGAAGATGAAGTGTCCTTGGTGAAGAGGGCCATTCATGGGAGTTCCAGAGGCGGTGGTGATCCTCTTTCACAGAAGATCAAGGTGCCGGATCCCAAGTCTTTCAGTGGTACCCGAAATGCCAAAGAGTTGGAGAATTTCCTATGGGACATGGAGCAGTACTTTAAGGCTGCTCGGATCCCTGATGGCGAGAAGGTGACCATTACAAGCATGTATCTGTCTGGTGATGCAAAGCTATGGTGGCGCACACGGATAGAGGATGATGCTTCTGCGGGTAGGCCTCGGATTGAAGTTTGGGAGACCCTCAAGAAGGAATTGAAGGACCAGTTCTTGCCTCAGAACACTGCATGGATTACAAGGGAATCTCTGAAGAAATTGAAGCACACAGGTACCGTTCGTGACTATGTGAAGGACTTTAGTTCCTTGATGCTGGACATTCGAAATATGTCAGAGGAGGACAAGCTGTTCAATTTCATGTCCGGATTGCAACCATGGGCTCAGGCAGAACTCCGTAGGCAAGGTGTGAGGGACCTTCCTACTGCCATGAAAGCGGCAGATTGTCTTGTGGATTTCAAGATGACTGGGTCTACTACACAAGACAAGAATAAGTCCAAGGAGGGGAAGAAAGACAAAGGCCAGTCCTTCAGGTTCAAGGACAAAAAGAAGGACAAGAATTAAAAGAAGGATAAAGGCGGTGGCTTTGTCAAGGCCAAGGCAGATTATAACAACAAAAGGAGTAGTAGTGGGACTAAGCCCAACTACGGTTGTTTCATCTGCAATGGTCCCCATCGTGTTAGGGACTGTCCCAAGAGGGAGAAGCTGAGTGCTATTGTCGCTGATTCAAAAAGAGACTCAGACTCGGAATCTGGTCCAACCCGAGTTAATCCTCTGCAAATGCTGAATGCTCTTACTGAAGAACAGTCCATGGAGTTGAAAGGGCTCATATTCATTCAGGTGACACTGAACGGCAAGGAAGTTTTGGCAATGGTGGACACGGGGGCCACTCATAACTTCATTGCGCAGAGGGAAGTAAGTAACTTTAATTTAAAGTTAATTCCACATGCTAATAAGATGAAAGCTGTGAATTCTGAAGCCAAGCCTGTTTTAGGTATGGCCACCACTTCTATGAAAGTTGGTTGTTGGGAGGGCGTAATTAGTCTTATGGCTGTTCCCTTAGATGATTTTGATCTAATTCTTGGAATTGAGTTCCTTACGAAAGCCAGAGTGGTAGTTGTGCCATATTTGGGAGGAGTTTTTATTTGGGACAGGAGTTGTCCATGTTTTATTCCATCAGTGGCTCTTTATGGGCACTAAAAGAAGGAAGATCGTAAATATGGTTGCATCGAAATAATCTCTGCATTGCAAGTGAAAACAGGTTTGAAGAGGGGAGACTCTACCTTTCTTGCAGCTATGATAGAGATCAAACCGAACCAGCTTGTTGAAGTTCCGGATTCTGTTGCTGAAATTCTAGAGGAATTTGCAGAAATGATGCCACCAGAACTACCCAAGCAATTGCCCCCTCGACGTGCTGTTGATCACAAGATAGAGTT